GGCTGGCTGAACGTACTTGCAAAGGCTTTGTCTTGCAAGGTGAAGGTGTGGGTGGAAATTGATAGAGACAGAAACCGTGGGGTTCTCTTTCCATATGGGGAACGACAGAGTGTGAAGTGGAGAATTGTCTGTGATGTTGATATTGGGGTCTTCTGATTGTTGGAGAAGAGTAGGATCGGAGCTTAGAACTATCTATTTCTACAGTCTTTATGGAGTCTCTTTTATCGGTTGATGTCCTGTTGTTGCTCTCCCATTGCTTTGTAGCCATCCACCGGTCAAGCCATTTAGTTCTTTCTTCAACCTCCTTTTCGTCTTCGCCGGATGGGTTCCTTCTCGATCTCCATATCTTATATGTTTTAAGATTATTATCAGTTAAAACCATGCACTGGTTCCAATACAACAACACTCATGCACTGGTTACCTGGTTTGATAAAGCATAAGCAAGGGCCTTCTCACGTTTAAATGCAGCTTCCCTTCTGTTCTGCAACAATGCTTCGATCTCTTCACTTGTCTGTGGCATGTCGTCCCATTCATCTGTTGTACAGCTAATGTCTCGGGACTGTGGCGTAAAACCAACCACGTACTCGAAATGAAAAAGATAAATGAAGTTTTTAAAAGAAATAAAGTTGATTATGGCTTATACTTACTATGGACTTACGCCTACGAATATCTTGAAGATATCTAGACTCCCACAACGAATTGATTTCATCAAACATAGACTTTCTGTACCCTTCATGTGAAAGCCTTGCACGTTGTTGATCCAGCACTCTGTCTTGTACTCTAACCAAAGATTGCATGCATTTCAGTGCCAACTTTGTTTGCCGTCTGACGTTGTGTCCCCTCACTAAAGCTTGAAGCTTCACTAGCCCCTTCAGTGCACGCAATGCTCTCCTTGCCTTCACAAAAACCATGAAAAAAACATAGATTACTAAGATACAGACTAGACAGTTGCAGGCATGCAGGAGAATCTTTTAATGGTGTAACTTCACTTACTAGGTAACCTCTGAAAGCTGTTTGAATGACAACAGCAGCATAGTGTTCTCTAACGTTGGCATAATTTGAAGGTATAGAACTAAGCCTAACGATCTCAACCGCCGCTTGAGCTGTCGCCACTGCAACTTCAGCTGCTGCCGCGGTGGCTGTTGCAACGGCAATCACGTGACGTGTCTCTGCAAAGTCCATTGATGCATTCACGGGTACTGTGGTCTCTACAGCAGCCTCCGTCGGTTCCTTTGCTCCACATTGTTGAACATGATGATTGATATTACTAGGCCATCTAAACAGCCATCTCCTTTTCTCCCTCTTCTGCACCACCAAAAATTGATCAAATTACACAAAAACAAGCATATACAAATGCAGTTAAACAACAAACTACTACCTTTTCTTCTTCTTCCTGCCCACATTCTTCACGTCTTCTGCTACTCCTTTTCTCATTATCTTTACCCGGAAACCTGAAAGCCTTTTTCACCATCGACAACCACGAGGCAGCTGCGTTCTTTCCCATGGTCAGGTAGATGATTAATTCCTTCACAAACCATGAATATATTTGTAAAGGAGGGAAAGAGAGAGAGAAGGGAAGATTATGTTCATTTGTTGCAGAATCTAACAGGAGGTAGGAGCTCCAACATATCTGCTAAGCGGTAGGTGTTTTCTAGTGGCACGGGGAACAAAAACAAATGAGGAGAGTGTCAGATACTTTGTCACGAAAAACCAGTAAAAACACTACCATATTATATGATAGAAGATAACATGAGAAAGAAGAGACTAGAGTGTTTAATGTTAATAGTTTTTCTGCATAAGAATCCAAAGTCCTTTGAAAATTGCTAGGCCTTTTCGATTGACGAGTCTTTTAAAACAACTGAACAAACCCCATTGGCTTCACGTGGTTTATCGGCAGCAGCAGGAGGAGCACTGGTTCACTAGAGAAATTATTTTTTCTTCTTCTTCTTCTTTTGTTGTTGTTGCTGCATAATCGGCATTGACGATTCCTAGAAGACCACCAAACGTACCACCAACTTGAACAAAGGCCAAAGGGAATCCCCCTTGGATGAGTTGGCTACTTGGCTCCATTTCCATGGCGGACTGGTCAAACTTTGATTCTACTGCATTCTATATAGTTTCCCAAATTGTTTCTTGTCTGCAAAATACAAGTGTAAAGGACAAATGAAAAAAATCCAACACTATCACCAACAAAATTTCCATTGGATTTTTTTACAAGCACTGGCCGTGCATGAAGGCAGGGTGGGGCTGGTGTTGCTGCAGTTTGCTGCTCTTGTCTTGAGGTCTAGTCTAAACTCTCAAGTCCCCCACATCTTTGCTCTGTGATGTCCTTTAAATGTACTTGAGTTGAATCAGAATTATTGTCACATGGTTTGCTCAACTAGCTTTTTGAATCGTCTCCATCTCCGGTAATCGCACGCAACAGCACTCACTTACATGCATTAAATCCTTCAAAATTTATATTCTATTCTAGGTAATGGTTTAAATGACGTTGTTGACGGATTTCCATCCTACAAAATTAGATGAGTTGTATCATATATTACTAACTTCCAATTAAATTTATCTTTAGATCATAAATTGATATCATTGTAACATATGAATTTTAATTTTGTATACGATTATATCAGTGGACGTTAAGCGGTAAATTCCGTGTTGATGTAAAATGATAATGGACATATTGATGCTCAACATGATGTTGCTTAGCCAACGAGTGTTGGCACAAATGGTTGGGATTTATGAATTTGAACTTATAAGGTCAAGTTCGAATCTTACCATCGTCATTCTTGGAGGGTAATCTGTTAATTTCTATGTAAATCCCAATTGTAAATTTCTATTTAAATCCCAATTGAGCCTTAAGTATGCCTTAACCCTGGACTGGAGAGTTATCTTTGACCTAAATTTATTTTTTGTACAAAAAAAACATGATGTTGCTTTTAAGGACTATATAAAGTCTATGATTTGTATATCAATATTTTCATTAAATTTTAAAAATGCTTTAGTTTTAGACGTTAAACCTTTCTATCATTGTTTGTTGTTAATAGTGTTCCATCACCTTCGTCATACGTAATAAGATTAATATTAAACCGTTCATATTTAATTTTTAGATTGGTTTTATATGAAACACACTCAAAATCGATAGAAATATATCTAAAGGTTCGAGATGCTAATATTTTGGTCTATTTCAATGTCTATTTGATAAAGTTATTTTTTATTTATGTATTTTGTCTTCTTGAAATAATGTTTCTTACATTTCAAATTTTTGAACAAACACTCTAAACCCCCAAAATATGAGAAATGCCCAAAATCGAAAAGTGATGAATTTTTGTTTAGGCATAATGCCGAAATAGCCCCAACATTTATTAAAATTGTTATTTCAGCCTTCATTATTTTTTTTAGAGTATTTTAGCCATCAACATACCATTCTATACACCTAATGTTTTATTGAACAATCACTTTGACCATTGTTCTTTTTACTTGAGCATTTTGCCCCCAAAACATTTCAATTTAGGGAAATAATTGGACTATTCATACCATGTGAAACAGTTTCCATCAACCATTATTGATCTCTATCTGAATCTCTTGTGCTAACCTTTCCATGCATAAAACAAAAATATACGACGACAGAGGATCACCTTATCTAATGCCCTGGGTAGGAGCAAAGACTTCAATCATAAAATCATTCCAAAGAATCTGGGTAGAGACGTTGTAATGCATTGCATTATCAGGTGGATGAGGTTATATGGGATGCCTATATCCTTCAAAGTATATTCAATTAAGTCCCATTCTAATCTGTTATAGGCTTTTTCGAGGCCAATTTTTATCGCCATCAAACTTCGCTTACCGGTCTTCTTTCTCATATAATAGATCACATCCTGTGTGATAATGTTGTTGTCAATTATACAATGACCCGACACAAAACTTGTTTGGTTATCAGAAACCTATTAAGGAAGAAAAGGATTCAGGCTATTCACAATAATTTTTGTAATAATTTTGTACAAAACGTTACACAGACTGATAGAACGAAGTTGGTTACCAAGATTTGCAAACAATTTCGAGTTATTGTGTTGCATCGCCTTGTCAAATGGGATATTATAAATAATTATTTAGGGTAAACTACGCCAGTGGCCGCTTAACCATAGTTCCTTTTTTATTTTGATCATCATTTTTGAATTTTTGTCAATCATGTCACCCACCTATTTAAATCCATTCAATCAGACCACTTGCCGTTAACATTTAACGGAAGTGTTGACGTAACTGTTAATAAAATTGGTATAATTACACATTTGATCCTCAATATTTATACATTCTTTCAATTTAGTCATAATTTTAATTCAGTTTAATAAATTTAATCTCCAATTAAGGGACGACACGTGTCACATCTAATTTAAAGGATATTTTATTAATTTTAATTATTTTATTTTATATTTAATCTGATGTAGACACGTGTCACCACCTTATTTGACACAACATAATCTAAAGAAATTAACTTATCGATGCATGGGAGTCGCATTGCACTCCTTGCGACTCATGTAAGTTTTGCATTGATCCAAACTTGTCGACGCATTAAAAATTATGAAATTGAAACATAAATGATTGAATTACCATGAATTTATAGACAAAGTTTTATATGATTAAATGTTAGGGTAGACGTATTACAATCTTGACGTCTCCCTTATTTAAGCTTGAAGGTTGCATGGTGGTCCATGCGTCTCCTATAATGACTGTAACAGACATCCTATTCAAACAAATAATTATAGATTATTTTTCATTCACATTATTAAATTTGTTTTCCCAATATATTCAATTATTTTTTACGGATGGATGAGTTAAATATCAGAAATCAAATATTTTTAAACGTCCTAATGAGGCATATAATTTACTGGGTTGTGGGTGGATGGGCTCGGGCCACTAATAGAGAAAGGAATTGGATATTTTGAAGCCAAGCCGAAGAGAAAAGGATGAGAAAGTTAGAGGCGGACGCCAAAAGAACTCATAGTTGTAGTTTCCTTTTTCTTATTTCATACCCTTTTAGTTCCGGTCCGACCCTGCACAAGGCTGAAGCAATATTCGTCAACCCCCTGCGGACGACGAGAAAGTCTCGAATCATCGTATCAACAAAGGGTTTTAATGTTTCCAGGTACTCGTTCCTCAATTTTAACTTAATTGTAGGCACAAAAAAAATGATAGGAAAATGATGTTAATTTAGCCCAACAGTTTTCGTTCAATGTGAATTGGGGTGGTTGGGATAGGAATTTAGGAACTTTTAGGTTAGGACTTTTTGATTCTTTTTTTTCTAATTAGGGTTTAGGATAACAAATATGAAAGGCCGGACGCATCGGGCTGAACCCCATGACGACTGGGGAGACGGTTCATGGACCGTGGACTGCATCTGCGGTGTCAATTTTGACGATGGTGAAGAGATGGTGAAGTGCGATGAGTGCGGCGTTTGGGTGCACACACGCTGCTCGCGTTACACCAAGGGGGAAGAGCTGTTTGCCTGTGATAAGTGCAAGAACAAAAGCAACCGTAACTACAGTGAGGAGACGGAGGTGGCGCAGTTGTTGGTTGAACTGCCGACGAAAACAGTTAGGATAGAGAGTAGTTCTACACGGCGGCCCTTTAGGCTTTGGACTGATATCCCCATGGAAGAGCGTGTTCATGTTCAAGGGGTTCCGGGAGGGGAACCTGGTTTATTTAGAGGACTGTCTGGGGTTTTTACGCCGCAGTTGTGGAAGTGCTCTGGGTATGTGCCTAAGAAGTTTAATTTCCAGTATAGGGAATTCCCATGTTGGGATGAGAAAAAGGAAGATAACAAAACTGGTAGGCTAAATGAGATTGAGAGTGGGAATCTGGCTGATAATGGTGCTGGTGTTCTTTTTTCGTTGTCCAAGGAGAGGGTTTTTTCTGCTCCAATGTATTCCAAGAAGGATGCTTTAAATGAAGGGAAGAAGAGTGAGCATGAAGACGTTGATGGAAAACGTTGGCAGAATGGAGTAAAGACAGATAGGGGTGTTCTTCAGCCTGTTATGGTAGCCTCCGGTGAGCAGCAGAAAGATGAGAATGGGTTGTCCAAAGATAGGAGTACAACGAAGAAGGTTAGAAGTTCTGCTGAGAAAGAGGCGTGCGAGAAGAAGAGAGCTGAACAGCCCCATACAACAGGTTATTTAGCTTGCTCTGCAATTAATTTAATGCTGTATAATATTTGCATATCGAGAGATTAATGTTTCTATTTTTTGATCATGAGAAATTTAGTTATTTCTTCAATAATACTTGTTTCATACCATGGAAGGAATGGTATCAGTGAACCTCATCTTTACCAGAGTTGGCATATGCATGTTGACTCCAGGTTCTTTTTTTTTTGTTTGCGTTCTTATTAATAGTGTTTAGACCCAGCTGTGATGCAAAACAATTGGAATATTATGAAGACAGAGTTCTGAAGCCTTGCACAACTGATGTTCAGAGTGGAAAGAACAAAAATTTTAAGGACAGTGTGCTTCAAGAACCAAAATCCGATGGTAATCTTGCACTAAACCGTGCGGTTGAAAGGCCTAAGAACAACGCATCAGGAAGGGAGCATGCTTCAGAGGTCTCATCTTCTGTTTTGTCTGGACACAATTCAATTAGAGAAAACGGTAAGGAGAAGGCTGATGATCAATTCCCCCCAGCTATGACAGGCACTGCAAAAACAGAAGATCTTGTTCAATTGCCATTAGTGCACAAATATACTGGGATAACTCCTGCTAAAGAAGAGGTATCTTTGTTATGTCTTCCATTCATTGGTATCGTGAATACAATTTTGTTTCTTTTTTTTTTTGCCTAATTTAATAACTGATGGATATTATTTTATTAAAAAATGTATATGGGAGAAGGAAAGTAGTGCTTTTAGTTGGTGTCACCAGCGCTATCACAGCCTCCACCCTCTCCATCTTCTATTTTCTAGAAGCAAATCTGTGCTTGTTTTGTCAGTTTATGTAAAATCAAAAGCAACTCTGTGATGATGTTGTCAGGGTTTTCATAACTAGCATTGTGTAGTTTGCATGCAAATGCTCCACATGCTTTTGTGTAAAATGGTATAGGGCTATTTAACAATTGTTTAGGTATGCTTTTGGTTTGACTTAGCATTTTATGTAACCTTTTGTAGTCTTGCAACAGGGTGATAGCATGGCAATTAACAAAGTAGATGGAAGTCCTCAGGAACATCAGGTTGATGTTTTGGCCAGTACTGCCCTGAGAGTTCTGGGTAATTATATTATTGAAGATTCTAACAGAGGCATGTCTCACAGCTTTGATAAACCTGTGATTGAGGCGAAAAGAAAAATGAACGATGGTGATTCTAATGTTTTCTTAATTGATAAGCGTTCTAATCCTGATGATACTAAAGATACTAAGATATCTTTCCATCAGATACCAGAAACAGAAACACCCCAGATGAATGACAGGGCTGGAGGCGATTCACATTCGTCTCACAGTAAGGCGAAGGTCTATGAGTCGGAAATTGTTGCTGATTGTCATTCTGATAAAGCAAATGAGTTGTCTGGCGATTGTTCGTTGCTAAAACATGATTTGGAGGGTTCTGAAGTTTCTGAGTCTGTGAAGAAAAGTTCATCAGAATCCAACCATAGTCCTAGATCTGCTGAAGAGCCTAAAGCAAGTATAAACGTTCTAACCTCTGTAGAAAAGTCTGACCAGCGTAAAATGGTAGAATGTGTTGGAAAGTCATCTTCCACTTCATCTGCTGCCATAATCCCCATATCATCTATTCCCGATGACACTAAACCTATAGATACTCAGAATAATACAAAGCAATTAGTAATGACTGACAATAACATCAGTAAGAAAGATCATGGTACAAATGATGTGCCTAGGAATGAAGACAGACTTGAGTTATCACATAAGGCAGCAAAAGAGCGTACAAAATCCTCTTCTGGTTCTACTTCGAAAGTCTCACACCACCAAAGCAGGATTTCAAATACTTCCATTTTGAAAAGAACCATATCTGAATCTAAAGATTCTGCGCCTTCCTCATCTTTAAAGGCATCTTTTGTACAGAATTCCTCAGTTACCTCAGCAACTGGTGAGTCTATTGGTTCACTGCAAAGTCAGTCTGCCACGTACATTCAACAAAATAAGACATCAGCTTCTGGTTTACCACAGAAAGGTGAAAAGTCCAGCCAGTCAAGTACCCAGATAGCATCTAAGGTTACTCATGCATCGTCAGTACATCCTCTTGCAACATCAAATTCCTCTACTCTGAGTGATGAAGAGGTGTGGGATCAATTGTTATATTCTAATAATATAATTTATTATACCTTCTCGTTCAGATTTTTTAATGAAATTTTAGGAGCTTCCTTTGACAAAAAAATTCTCCCTCTTCAATTTCAGCTTGCTTTGCTTTTGCATCAAGAACTTAATAGTTCTCCGAGAGTCCCTCGTGTTCCACGTGTGCGGCAGACTGGTAGTTTTCCTCAGCTGGCATCTGCAACTGCAAAAAGCATGCTAATGAAACGTGCATCTAGCTCAGGCGGAAAGGATTGCAGTTTGGTAATAAGTGCACTTCCTTATCTGATATTTTTTAGCCTACTTACAGTTCCTTTTTACGTAATGGTTGCATTGGTAAGAGGTTTTGACAAGAATGGTTCTTCTAGGTCCCTAGAAGAAAAAACAAGGATGCATCTAAAGATGGGTTCCGTGGATCTCGTGAGCTCGATCATGATGCTAAAAGGACTGATAAAGTGCGATCTTCACATGATCAGAGACAAGATATTGGTTCTTCCATGGATGTTTCTGCTAAAAGGAATGACAAGAATGTACATCCCACACCCGCCACAACCTCAAACAGTGGTCCTTCTTCTTCAACTGAAGCTAATGAACAAAATTTGCCATTTGTACGTAGTTCACCCAGAAATTTCTCTGATGATGATGCAGGCACAGGTCGTGGTTCTGTACCTCGTACTTTACCTGGTAACTCTCTCTCCAAGCAAGTATAATTTACCAAAATTTTCCTGAATTGCGATCAATCTCATGTTTATTTGCTCACTCTCTTTTTAAGAATCTACAATAATATTCCTTTGCATTTCCAGGCTTGATAAATGACATTATGAGCAAGGGCAGGCGAATGACATATGGAGAACTTTGTAATGCAGTCCTGCCGGTATGTTGCTTCTGTAAGGCGAACTGCCTACTGTCTGTCATGCGCCTTCTTTCTTTTTTACTTCTGATAGTTCTTGGGGGAATAATAGTTTCTTATTCTTTCTTTTCTGCTACTGCTCCAGCACTGGCCTAACTTGAGGAAGCATAATGGAGAACGATATGCATATTCTAGTCATTCTCAAGCCGTCCTTGATTGCCTAAGAAATCGACAAGAATGGGCTCAGTTAGTTGATCGTGGTCCTAAGGTATGCACATAAGTTACGGCTTAGCATCCTTTATTATTTTGTTTGTGCACTGTGTGATCCTGAGGACTCAAAACCATTCAGTCAGTATGGTGTGTACTTTTCCTTTGTGATTAATAATCATAGTTTGCCCCATTTCTTGCAATCTTGTCCTTGCTTTCTCCTTTTGGTTTAGCCCATGAAAATCTGAAATGTTCTGAACAAAAAGGGTAGAAAATATATGCCAATGCCAGCCTTTTGGAAAGTTTGAACTGTCAATTTGAACTCTAATGTTCTTTAAAGAATTTTCTTATAGTTGGTTCTTAATTAAAGATCCAAATCACGTTATGGTGTAACAGACTAATTCAAGTAAGAAAAAACGCAAGGCTGATGCTGAAGATTCAGACGATAACGAATTCAGCAAAGGAAGAAGTACGAAAGAGTTAGAAAGCAAATGCCTCGAGTCTCAGAAAGAAGATTTTCCCAAGGGCAAAAGGAAAGCCAGGAAACGCAGGCGGCTGGCTTTGCAAGGAAGAGGAATAAAAGATGTCCAAAGGAGAAGGAAAGTAGATTTCAGTGATGATGATGATGGTCCCTTCTCTAATTCAAGCGAGGAGAGCATGTTTAGCGAGGATGATATCCAAGGAAGGGGAGCTTGCCCGGTGGGAAGCGAGGCCACGACAAGTTCGGATGAAACAGGGTCCATGTAACTTCAACCAAATAGAGTTATGATTTTCAGCTGATTTCCGGAGATGATGAAGTGGCCTGGAGTTTTAACATTACGACAATGCTCTTCTGTTTCTCTTCTCCCATCTGCCGATCCCTTTAGATGATTCCTTGCATTGTATTTTCATGCAATGATCGCATTTTGTGTGGCAATGGGTTCATGCCAGATCAACGATTCACTATGGCTTTCAATATTTGCTAGCCAGCCCGATGCTTTTCCGGCTGACTTACCGGTTGTAATTGTAACTGTCTGTTGGTCTGTATGATTGAAATGTAACGCTAGTACTAGTACTGTACATGGACGGATGTTTTTGGTAGTATAGCGTGTGGCTGCCACAAGTTTTACGGTTTAATACAGTCTCAATGATTTTTTTCTTTTGTAGATGATTATTTAAAGATAAATTATGAGTAGATAAGTAAAATGGAGAAAAGGATGTGAGTGTAGTTTTTATTGATCGAAATTATAGATGACGAGAAAAGGAAAACAAATATCGTTTTCTGTATTTAGCAACTGGATTATTATTACTTCAAAGAAATCTGTTTTCTTTATTTTGTTAAAATATAATTGAACTCGAGAAGTGTCAAAATATGCACAGAATAGTGAAAAAACTTTAAAAAAATTGGGTTTGAATCTATTATATTTGGGTAATTTCCCGTTTTATTGTTGCTTGAAGCCTATAGAAAAGTGAGTCAGGAAAAGATTAGGTCGTTGAAAGGACGGTAAGTTTAAGTTGGGTCTGTCCACTTCGTTTCATTTCCTCCCCCAACCCCCTCTCCCGATCTGTTTAGGGTTCTCCTCGGTATTCATTTTCTTAATTTTTTTTCCTCTTTGAATAGAATTGGAGTTTTGGCTGATGTTTAGGTGGCGATTCATCGTTCATGACGATTCCAGATTCGGGTTTCATGATGGAGAACGGGACATGTAGCCTGCCGTGCACGACCGAAGAAGAGAAAAAGATCATTACTGATTTAGAAAACGAATCTGAACGTAATTTGAAACCAGGCAACTTGTATTTCGTTATTTCCAGCAGGTCCGTTTTTAAACGAATTTCAACCTTCTCTTTTTTTTCCTGGTTTCTTTCTGGACTGGATCTTGAAGAAATGCATTTGATTTTTTTATTTAACTCAATTACCTAATTCTTAGCATTTTATATTAGTTAATTGTATGAACGAGACTTTTTCTTTTCCTTGACAGCTGGTTTCGAAGGTGGGAGAGGTATGTTGGAATAGACCCTGATGAAAATTTGATTGGGAACCGATCTTCTGATTATCGGCATATCAATGGATCTTCTTCTGTCATGGCAGAAAGACCTGGTCCTATCGACAACTCTGACATTGTTGAGAATGGAAATGATAGCAATTGCAAGGAAAATGAGATTCAGCTTCGGAGAATGTTAATGGAAGGGCAGGATTATGTTTTGGTACCACAAGGAGTTTGGGAAAAGCTTCATGAATGGTAATGCTTCACTTAGAACTTTTTTGCATTGATATCTAGCATGAATATAGACATACATGCTTTGCTCATAATTTTCAAGTTACCAATGAACTTGAAGATCTACAGTTGAAAGACTTTGAGAGAGTTATAAGTCCTTTTAAATTGTAATACTTTGATGCTTATTCATGTTAATAGAAATGGATACACATGCAAAGAATATGTACTTACTTGATCATGTCATACACCTGAATGTACCTATCTTTGGTGTACTTATTTGGGAAGATATCTTGTAAAATTTGCTTTTGATTTTCATGGATAGGTATCAGGGAGGGCCAGCATTGCCGAGAAAGATGATTTTGCAGGGTGTTCTTCATCGAAAATTCGATGTGGAGGTTTACCCCCTTTGTCTTAAGTTGATAGATTCCAGGGATGAAAGTCAGTCAACTATATGGATAAGCAGAAAGGTACAACTTTTATTTGCATGAATTGAGGATTTGTCCCTTCGTTTGTTATCTTGGTCAGGGCAGCCAAATGGAATGTAGTAGTTTTATTAAACATGTTTTAGTTTTGATGTCTTTTAATTGTAAGTTTTAAAACCCAAGTCGAAACTGGAAATGGTTCCATTTCAAGCCAATTGCTAAAGTGATCTGGAAATGCCTTTTGATTTCTGAAGTCTTATTTTTGGTGCCCTTGAAATCATGCAGTTTTCTTTTAGTTTTACCTTGCAGATTCTAACCCCCTTTGGTTGGATGTTATGTTAGGCTTCTGTAACTGAGCTTTTACAGAAAGTCTGTGCACTTAGAGGAATAGAGCAGGATAAGGTGGGCATATCATTTTTTTTTCAAATCATGTATTCTTAATATAAACACTACATAATATTTTTTTCTTCAAGTTTACGTGATAACATGAATTACATGTTTGGTTATATTGCTAGGCTCGCCTCTGGGATTACTTCAACAAGAGAAAGTATTCACAGTTGTCTGTTTCAACCAAAAGTCTAGAAGAATCCAACTTACAGATGGATCAAGATGTGAGGACCCTTTTGTTGTCCTTGTTCCCATTTCTAATTGGTCTCCATTTACCTGTATGTTTGCTGAAACATCACAGATTCTTCTGGAACAAGTTGATGGGCGTCATTCTTCTAGATTTGGCATGGATTCTACGGGAAATGAACTAGCTTTGGTTTCCTTGGAACCTTCAAGATCACCCTTGACAATTGCTGGTGGGTCAACCTTATCCAATGGGCGCTCTTCAGGTTACACAACAAATCTGTATGCAGGAAGTTCCTTAAGCTCTAGATTGACAGATATGGATGATGGTTTGGATGCGTATAACTCTGCTAGAAAAGGAGAGAAGGGGGGTTGGCTGGATTGCAGAACCTAGGAAATACTTGTTTTATGAATAGTGTTCTTCAATGTTTAGTGCAACTCCCCCTCTTTTTTTTTTAGGAATATAAGGCCTCGTTAAAAACCTCCTTCTTGATTAAAGGAGCTTGTAGAAAAGCTCCTTAATCAGCGGAAGGAGGAAAAGAGTGCCTTAAGATTTCATTAACCATAAGAAACATAAGATACAACCAGAATCGCCTCCCCCAACGTAAACAAACAACCCAAAACAGCCGGAAAAACCCTATACAGCAACATTAACAGCGAAATCCATCTAAGCTATAACAACAGTCACAAAAATGACTGACCAGACTTAACACCTGAACTAAGCCCGAAAACCAACACATAAACAAAACAACTAAAGCAGAAGCCGAATATCACAGCTGAACCAAACCATAAAATCCAAAATCAAAAACAAAAAGCCCTGAACTTCCACACGAAGAGTACAAGAATCTTCTTCCGCCTAACTGCCTCTTCTAGCTCGACTTGTCGACATAGACCATCTGAACCTCCAACTTTAGAGCCTTCAAGATCAGAAAAAACTTCCTCTCGATGCACCTTCCTCTGAGAATTCTTGCTTTGACTTTAACGAGACTTCCTTTGGTGGGCCGAGAATTTTTCTTGAAAATTTTGGAGAGAACTAAATATAGCATTTCTCTCCTCCAAAGCTCTTTGTTTCTGACACCCATCCACTTTCTCGGATTTCGATAGCCCCATCCCCTGACCAGCAAGCACTTCCTCATGTACCACCAATACCTTAAATCCATCAGTAGGCATGGTCGAGGACGGCACAACTGGCAGCTGCACGTTATCTTTACTTACATCCTTAGACCCAACGTGCTAGTGTAAGTTATTCAGTTGGACAATTTTGATACCTCTTGTTGACCACTCCACAAAATCTCTAACAATAAGTTTCCTTGTGCAGGGAGAGCTTGCTCTTGCATTTGGTGACTTGTTACTAAAATTATGGTCCTCAGGGCGAACTGCTATAGCTCCACATGTATTCAAGGGAAAACTTTCTCGGTTTGCACCCCAATTTAGTGGTTACAACCAGCAAGATTCTCAAGTAAGTATTTCTTGTGTATGAATATTATGTTATCCTGCATTGCTAGGAATTTAGTAGTATAAAGTAGTTGGATATTCGAGGATGTTAACAACCTTTATTACATTGGCAAGACACCAATATGGGAGTGAAATACTTGTCTGACATGACTTGGAGAATTGTGACTCGGCTTCTTTGTCCTTGAGGTAAAAGAAGAAGAATGGTACATAATAAGAAAAAAATAAGAAAAATGAGAAGTTAAGCACATATTAGATTAGGGTTTAGGATTACGGTAATGAATGCTTGAAGGATCCTATCTCTTAGTTTTTGACTTCTAATCATTCCAAGGCTTTGGTATGGAGTATGGATCTTTTGTATTATACTAAAAACAACTTACAATGTTGTTTGAGTGGTATCTATGGATTCAGGGTTGCATCTATTCTGTTTTATCATATTTATGCTTTCTATAATGGTGGAACATTTTTGCTTTAGGAACTTCTGGCTTTCTTACTGGATGGGTTGCATGAAGACTTAAATCGGGTCAAACAAAAACCTTACATTGAAAGGAAGGATTCAGATGGTCGTCCTGATGAGGAAGTTGCTGCTGAGTGTTGGAAAAATCACAAGGCCCGAAATGACTCGGTAATTGTGGATGTTTGCCAAGTGAGATATTTAATATTTTGACTAAATGTTTTGATTTAGAGTTGCATATAAAGGTCTTCTTTAAAGTTATGTTGGAGAGTCGTATCTGGATTTTTCATGGGAAATATAATTACTATTTAAGATTTGTTGTCAGTGCAATTTAAGCAGTTTTATGACCAGTTACATTTTTTCTGGATAAAATTAGAATTGCCTTTTTTATATTTTTCATTATATAGTTTTTTCCATTCATTAATATTAGGTCAGACTTTAGGTGCCTAGTGCTTTTGTGGTTCCATGCTTAATGTTTCCCTTGCTTATGTAATTGTTTTCATTCATCTTGCATCATGACTTTTAGTTTCTGAGCATGGAAATTGGGCTGGTTTTCCCCTTTTTACTAACAAATGGAATATTGTTAATAATGCTCTTGCCTCTCAGGGTCAATATAAGTCTACACTGGTTTGCCCAGTTTGCCGCAAAATTTCTATCACCTTTGACCCCTTCATGTATCTATCATTGCCACTACCTTCAACTATCACTAGGAAAATGACAGTGACGGTGTTCTATGGTGATGGAAGTCATCTACCAATGCCATTTACAGTCTCTGTGCTGAAAAATGGTTTCTGTAAAGATCTTCTTTTGGCATTAGGTGCTGCATGTGGTCTGAAGAATGATGAAAGCCTGATGCTTGCCGACGTAAACATATCTTGGATTGGTTCATAATTTTTATAGTTGTTTAAATGATACATTACCTTGATTGGCTGAAGTAGTAAATCTTCAATATCAGGTATATGAAAACAAGATTTACCGATACCTAGAGATGCCTTTGGAGCCATTGGCTTCGATAAAGGA